ACTGAAAACAGGCTAGACTAATTGATTCTTGGGATTTAAGAATCGATATCGTTTCGTAAAAATGAGAATCGATTATAATCGAGATATCGATAATTTTTTACCCAGCCCTAGAAACAGGATATTAATTGTGAAAGCGGATGTTTCATCCCAGAATTACTGAAATTCTGATTAAGAAATATAGTTGGTGAACACTGATTTTCTATCGAGGATCACCTTTGTACCTAAAGCAACCATATTGGTAACTTAAAGGTACAAAAGTGTACCTTTTGAAAAGGTATCGCCCCAGTGACAGATTTTGAACCTTTTTTCAGAGTGTATCTTCTAGTATACTTTTTCAGAAAATATAAAATGTAATCTATTACCAAACTGTTTTTAATATCTTATTTCAGAATAAACCTAAAAATAAATAAAAAATGCTCAAGGAAAAATAACAAGATTATTTAGATAAGATATTAATGTATTATTGGTATTATTATTTGATTATAATTAATTATTTAATAATTATTTAATTTCTTAAAAAAATAAGTCTTAATATTGTATATAACATTTCTTCTCAAATAAAGGACACAAAAAGAAAACAAGGTCCTTGAAATATCAACTAACTTTTCCAGCGGTTCACTGTGTTATTTATCTAATTGCGGGCTCAGTGGATTTCGGGGATTTAGATACACAGATTAAACATCTGTCTAATACCAGTGCTTCAGCTTTTACCATTTTCTTCATGCTCCACATCCCTCTTCCCCCGGCCATGTCAGGCAGACAGCGACAGCGATTACCCAGTGTCCTCTGGGAGAGAGAAGAGGACATGCGGTAAGCTCTCACCACATACAGTAGCTTAAACTCTATTGCACTTCAAGGCAGATCAGTCGTGTTTATTCAGGGCTAAACCAAATGCTTTGCCAAATGTAATTCTTTCTTCTTTCTATATCTGACACAACGTGAAGAAATAGATATCACAACCATAGTAGTTTTGATATGGATCACATGCATCTTATGTTACATTCAGGCACCAAAACTAGCACTCACTAGTTATTTTGTAGTAAATTGGCTTTGGAAAGTAAAAAAAAAAAAACAATTAGTGATCGCTTATTTTATTAGGCACTGGCCTAAGATGGCAGAGAAAAATAATCTGACATTCACTGATGTAAGAAATGTAAATGATTCAAATCTTTTTCACATCTTTGTAATAACACATTTGCATGGAGTATTCCTTCTATCGAGCCACTAAAATAAAAATATTCATGGTTTGTCACACATATGCAACATAAAAAAATAAATGATCCTATTATCACCAGGAGAAAAATAGCTTCACCATTGGCAGCTGTGACAAAAAGTACATTTTGGACCCTGCTTACATTTGCATGTCACGTTATCAGCTAACACAAAGGTTAGCACAACAATGCTGGTTTACCGACTGTTTTGATATTAATTTCCGTTTACACTGCCGTCTTCCAGGACTACTTGATCACAGGCCACACGTGTTCCTTTGAGCCTTTACGTTTGCGCCGTCAAATGCATGAGCGCTATGCACAAAGCATCTGCCGCATTAACCTGTTCACCTTCACACATGTGCAGCACTCGTGAAGTAGGAAGATCCATCCCACACAACAAATCTCTGATAATGATGCTTTTTTTTTTCCTCTGGAAAACCGCAACTTTGTAGCATCTATTACAGAGGAAATGAGTGCTGTTTAGCACTAAACTCTCCTAAATAGCCCCCTGTGAGGCGTGTATCAATACACAGCTGAGCGATGATGATAAAACGCCCACCATACATTTGAGGGGATAAAATATGGAATAAAAGTGTGTTATAGATATGACTTCAGTGGAGTGGGAGAACAAAAAGTAAACTCTAGATAGAGCCGAAAGGTCAGCGGCCGCCGTCATGTTTGAAAATGATGAGTGACGCGTGGAAAGCGTTGGTGGGCTCTCGGAGTCTGGCGAGGCCACGCTGAGACTGAGCAAAGAGTTCGGCTGTCCGAATACATTTCCAAGTCTGAGAGAGCGACTTTAAAATTAATGAAGGGGGAACTCTGACTTTTAGTCAATGTAAAATTTTCATTAATGTTATTATTCCATTGTCTGCGTGGTGCTGAATTTATATCACTTCACGTTCCGCGCTCGGAATTTTTATGCCCTGAATCTTGAAAATCACTGAAGTCACCGAGGTGGAAGTGAAAGAAAGAAAGAAAACTTATTTTCTAAAGTTCTATGCGCTGCAGAAAATCTGTATTTTTGTCTTGTTTTCCAGTTAAAATATTAAAAAATCCTTAAAACAGAATACATTTACCGATGAAGCAAAACAGACTTGTTTTCCTAGATTGTATCTTGAATATAAATGCATTTTGTCTTTCTGCACTGGCAGATATTTTCCCCACTTGTTTTTAATGTTTCTTTTACTCTCAGTGCAGTAAGACAAAATACACACATTACATGGCTAATCAAATAAATATATTAATGGTTTTTAGATATTTTAAATTGAAAACCAGTAAAAAAAGATGAATTAAAGGGATAGTTCACTCAAAAATGAAAATTCTGTTATTTACTCACCCTCAAGTTGTTCCAAACCTGTATGAATTTCTTTCAGGTTTTGAACACAAAAGAAGATATTTTGAAGAATGTTGGTTATCCAACAGTTGCTGGTAGCCATTGACTTCCATAGTATGGAAAAAATGCTAGTCAATGGCTACCAGCAACTGTTTGATAACCATAATATCTTCTTTTGTATTCAGCAGAAGAAAGAAACTCACAGGTTTGGAACAAGTGGAGGGAGAGTAAATGATGACAGAACATCTTTAAGAAGCCTTTTTTTCTTTGCTTTTTTCGCAGTGTGAAATTTTTCACAATTAAAGAGCCAATTGACATCTGACAATTGAATTTTGTCATATCCCAACCTACTTCATATTTACAGTATCACATTATATTATGACCAAAATGTTATTTTACAGTATAGAAAATTTAAATCAAGGTTACAGTACATATAAATAATAGCTATTTTTTTCTGGGAACACAACAACCAATTGGCTTGTGTATTAAATAACCATCTATTAATAACAAATTTTGGATAATGTATTGAATTATATACTTATTATATAAAAAATGGCTTTTAAAGCAAATCCTTTAAGTCCTTGCAAAAAAATGCATTTTGAGACCCTGCATCTAGTTAAAATAAACCCAAATCTGCATAATTATGCAGGCCTTCTTTAAGAATGTTTAAATGAACATATACATTTACATTTTACATTTATTCATTTAGCAGATGCATTTATCCAAAGCAACTTACGAATTAAGAATACAGCAAGCGATTCATCACAAAGAGGCAAGTAAACACGAGAAGTGTTTGTAATAAAATGTTCAGACATCGTTCAGAATATTAAATCACCATGCAAATAAACCCAATTAATAAGACTCAACCACTATATTTAACCATTACAGTCACAGAGTATACACAAAGAACACACACACATATTATTTCTACAAATCATCAGTCCCACTTTCAGAGCTTCTTTCTGATCCTGTGCATTAAATCTGAGGTCTGTACGATTTCCCTGCCTGATACAATCACATTTATTCCAACACTAAATGAATGAGTAATCTTGAAACAAAAAAACACGCATAAAGAGAGAAAGAAAACACAACAGCCCCACAGCTGTACAGAATCAATTCTCTGTGGTGTTTAGGGTGCCCATGGCTGCGACTGAAGAGGCCCTGAGCTCTTGGGGCGAAAACGCTCTCTGTCAATAGCTCTGAAATGCTATCCTTGTCTCAAGTAGCGCTCCACTTCACAGAGGACTGCTCCATTCTGTGGAGCCTCTAATAACAACTCTCTTCAGATATGAGGAAAACAGTGCCTACACCCCAAAAGAGCGCTATCAGCCAAACACCATCAATTGACTCGAGGATGATTTTTTTTTGTCAGAAGGGTAAAATCGGCGAGAGGAAACTTTGGAAATTAAATGTGAGTTTATGTAAAGATTAGAATGTAGATGGGTCGCAAATTATGTCCATCTTCATGCAATCTGTGATTGGAATTATTGATGTATCATAAAGGGATTGTTCACCCCCCAAAAAAATAAATAATAATTTACTCACCCTCGGGCCATCCAAGATGTAGATGAGTTTGATTGTTCATGAGAACAGATTTGGAGATCACTTGCTCACCAATGGATGCTCTGCAGTGAATGGGTGCCGTCATAATGAGAGTCCAAACAGCTGATAAAAACATCACAATAATCCACACCACAGTCCATCAATTAACATCTTCTGAAGCAAAAAGCTGCTTGTTTGTAAGAAACAAATATATCATTAATGAATTTTAACTATAAGCCATCGCTTCTGGCCAAAATATGAGTCCATAATCCATAATAATGCTTCCTCCAGTGAATAAGTCCATCCCCGTGGTCCTCTCATGTCAAAATCAACTTACATATTTGTTTTGTAAAATAACTGTTTTGATGGGGCGAAAACGCTCTCTGTCAATAGCTCTGAAATGCTATCCTTGTCTCAAGTAGCGCTCCACTTCACAGAGGACTGCTCCATTCTGTGGAGCCTCTAATAACAACTCTCTTCAGATATGAGGAAAACAGTGCCTACACCCCAAAAGAGCGCTATCAGCCAAACACCATCAATTGACTCGAGGATGATTTTTTTTTGTCAGAAGGGTAAAATCGGCGAGAGGAAACTTTGGAAATTAAATGTGAGTTTATGTAAAGATTAGAATGTAGATGGGTCGCAAATTATGTCCATCTTCATGCAATCTGTGATTGGAATTATTGATGTATCATAAAGGGATTGTTCACCCCCCAAAAAAATAAATAATAATTTACTCACCCTCGGGCCATCCAAGATGTAGATGAGTTTGATTGTTCATGAGAACAGATTTGGAGATCACTTGCTCACCAATGGATGCTCTGCAGTGAATGGGTGCCGTCATAATGAGAGTCCAAACAGCTGATAAAAACATCACAATAATCCACACCACAGTCCATCAATTAACATCTTCTGAAGCAAAAAGCTGCTTGTTTGTAAGAAACAAATATATCATTAATGAATTTTAACTATAAGCCATCGCTTCTGGCCAAAATATGAGTCCATAATCCATAATAATGCTTCCTCCGGTGAATAAGTCCATCCCCGTGGTCCTCTCATGTCAAAATCAATTTACATATTTGTTTTGTAAAATAACTGTTTTGATCTGTTTTCACTTGTAAGTGGTGCATGATCTGTGCATATTTCTCTCCTGATTCACTGGAGAAAGCAATATTACAGATACTCATATTTTAGCAAGAAGCAACAGTTTGAAAACTATTAACTGTTAATGTCTTATATGGATCTGTTTCTTATAAACACACAGCTTTTTGCTTCTCAAGACATTAACTAATGGACTGGAGCAGTGTGGATTACTTGTGGATTATTGTGATGTTTTTATCAGCTGTTTGGACTCTCATTCTGACGGCACCCATTCACTGCAGAGGATCCATTGGTGAGCAAGTGATGGAATGCTACATTTCTCCAAATCTGTTCAAATGAAGAAACAGACTCATTTACATCTTGGATGGCATGAGGGTGAGTACATTTTCAGCACCTTTTTGATTTTTGGGTGAACTATTCCTTTAAATTACAAGAAAAAATGTGCTGCAAATGTTTTTTAATGTTGACTCTGAAGAGAAAAAGACAGAATAAATGTTTGCAGACAGGAACGCTCCCCTGTTGCACAACAGCTGCATCAAATGCCAAAGCATGTGTAAGACGGCACACAGATGGTGTTGCCATGTAAACAAAAGCAA